GCGTTGGTGGACGGTGCTTTTTTCTGGAAGACTTTGCAGTTTTTTCCTGGATTTTTCTGTTTGCGCATAGTCACATAGTCACTTTAAGATGTTTTCTTGTTCATGTTTTTTGCGGTTGCACCCGATTTAAGAGCCGAATGGCTCACAGGGCTACACCAAATAAATGAAACTGAACCGTACGTACACGTGGCCATGCCAACGCCCCACGAGACACCCACCCATGCCTGCACAATGAAACAACACAACTTCAGCAAAGAGGTGGCCATCGTGAGACAATAAACCACTCACAGTCACACCCTAAAGTAAGAGCCCATGTCAACCGTTGTCCTCTCTCGCTTTCGACTTTACATTTTTCTAAATATCGACGCATCTCGCTGTTATAAAATTCCATTGTTACATTAAGCAGCACCTCTCCTGAACCTCCTTCCGTTCCCCTTCAAGCTCACCTCTTCTCTCTCGTTCATTCTCTTCCCTACCCTCGCCCCTCCACCCCTTCCCGTCCCTCTCCTACCTTTTCGTGATCTGCTTATTGTGTTTCGTTTGTTGTCCACTCCCGCACCTCCGATTCGTACGTTTGGCGACGTACGGTGCGAAAGAAGTTTATCGTACATGCAATGCAGCTTTGGTGCGGACGAAACAACTCATATCCACAACTGCCCATTCTTAAGGTCAATACACAGACTATTATATTACTTTATAAACGTAGTCATAAACATTTAGCCCACACGCTGTGTGTTTTAAAGATTTGCATTACTTTAATTTGGGAGTGATATGTTACTAATGTGTGTACAGCATCAACATTTGCAACTACATTTTGCCCTCAATTTTCACTCGGCAGCTCTTTCCCTATGCGCCACAAGAGGGCATGCTAACAGCGACGATGATACGCATCGGTGTAGGCTTACAATTAAAATAAATTTGTCTATAAAACAGGAAATCCTGAATAAATTTCAGTGGTATTAACGGAAAATGTCTCTGTTGACAACCGCTGAGAATTGCCAAATTGTACAAAAAAAATCTAACTATACACGCATTTCGAGTACTGTATTTACAACTAATTTGTTGTCGTATACCCTTCTCCACCTAACAGCCAAACAAATCGAGTTTGTCACATGAGCTAAACTTGCCAATTTATGTTTATGTTTTTTTGCCCTCTTCAGCAATTGGTTCTTGCTGTGGTTGTCCCACCTGATGACGGACGCTTGTGTTGCGCCCGAAACGTCGTGATTTAATTTATTTTATTTTATACCTACGTGACTTTACCGAAAGAACCAAAGAGTATGGATCCCTGCAGTCCAAATCTAGAAGGAGATGTTTCTTTTTCACCAGACCGACCTGCCGAGTTTGTTGGCCGTGCCAGGCCCGTTCGGTCGTGCGGTCACTCACCAGAGCAGCATCGAGGCTCAAACCCTTGGCGCAGCTTCTGAAATCCCACGATATCGGGCCTCTTTTTAAATCCTTTATATTAAGTTGACTTGCTTGCTTACGACCGTGCAAATCTTTCGGTCGTTTTTTAACCCACTTCCCGTGATCCAATCGAGCTGACATTTTGCACACAGACTCGTTGTGCGTGACAATTTATTTTCGTGAAAAAAATATTTCCAAAATTTTCCACTTTTTAGGATAAAAAAATTTCATATTTAATTTAAAATACCAATGTGACAAAAATGAAACTCTTACTCAAGAAAAACAGAAATGAATAATAAAATAAAACCGATGCCATGCATATAAAAGATTTATAGTGAAAAACTTTGTTTTTACGGGTACATTTTTTGCATTTATCCGCATCCGAAATGCAGTTCACAGTCCACCCATGGCACCGCCCATTGGCTGCGTACGGCGCAAAAGAAGTTGAACACACCTGTAAATACGTGCAGTATTCAGTTCACAATATAATGAGGAGTAAATATATGTTTTGATCTTGAGTGGGATGCGTTTAGAAGTGTTGTTATTATTATGGCTCTGGTTTGCCTAGGATAGCCTCGCCAAGTCTCGACTCTGACGACGGCTCCGCAATAGTTGCTATCTGTATGCCAAATTGAGTAACTACTTGCAGATGAGATCTCATTCTTGGGATGTTTTGGCCAATACCAGTTACAGTGCCTGTTTAGCTATGGCTGGACATTGGGGAACCCGGAGGAAGCCCATGCACGTGTATTATGTAAGCCAGGTGTGTGTGTGTGATGTGTGTCATTGGAGATATGTGTGAGACTGTGATTTGTGTGTCCTGTGTTTTGTAAAGAGTGGGTGTGCTGTCAGAGATGGGGTTTGGTTCGTAATTGGAGATTGAATGTGGGTGTGTTTGTAATGAGAGGGTGTGGGGGGGAGTGATTCCTGCTCACGCCCAACACCGGTGACGATTATCTGAACCTGTCTTGGGCCTCCCCTAGGTCGACTCAGCCTCAAATGAGTGTCTGGTCCGGTGTGTGTAAACATCGCCACCAGGAAGACAAATGCGGCCGGGAGTGTTGCTGGCCACCCACTCCCTCGTGTAGAAACTTCAGACGTGCTGCTCGCTAACAGCATTTGTCCCAACAGTCTGTTAAGGCTCTAAGGGGGGCTCTTATTGTTTGAGAGATCTGGGCAAAGTCCCATCGGTGAGCTCCTCCGGCAGGCAAGGTCATGTAGCCCGCATGCCCAGCCACCGCATGCCGAAACAGCTTTTGTTCGGCCGGATCGAGGGGGCTAAACGGCCTAGAGAAGAGATGGAGTGATGTGGTACAGGAGGATGTGGAGCTGAGTGGACTTGCCGATGACTGGTACCAGCGGTGTCAAGATCGGCCTCTGTGGAGGAGGCTCGTGAAGGACGCTGCTACTGGGCAGTTGGAGGCTTTCGCCCTCCAACAACAACGGAGGGCGGAGGAACGACGCTCACAACAACGAGCGGAGCGCCGGGTGGCTAAAGCACAGCAAGTTGGCACAGTAGGGGGCACATGTGGTGCATCAGCCAGTCATCTCGGTCATCTCAGTCAGTCGACCCGTGGCACCTGCTGGGTCTGTCCTTTGACCTCTTGCCAGCGGGCGTTCGACACTTCACGTGACCTCAAGGTGCACATGGTCTGGCAAAAGCGTCGTGGTGACGTCACCGCCACTTAGTGGCGAATGGCGGTTGTTGTTGTGTGGTGAGTGTGTGTGCTGTGTGTGATGGTGAGGGTGTGCTGTGTGTGTTATGGTGAATGTGTGCTGTGTGTGATGGTGAGTTGGTCAGTGTGTGTGATGGTGAGTGGGTGTGTGCTGTTTGTGTGCTGTGTGTGATTGTGTGTGTGCTGTGTGTGTGATTGTGAGTGTGTGTGTGCTGTGTGTGCTCTGTGTGTGTCTGTATGTATGTGTGATGGTGAGTGTGTGTGGGCTGTGTGTGTATGTCTGTGTGTGTATGTCTGTGTGTGTGTGTGATATGTGTGTGCTGTGTGTGTGTGATGGTGAGTGGGTGTGCTCTGTGTGTGTGATGGTGAGTGTGTGTGTGCTTTGTGTGTGTGCTCTGTGTGGGTGCTGTGTGTGTGTGATGGTGAGTGGGTGTGCTCTGTGTGTGTGCTGTGTGTGTGTTATGGTGAGTGTGTGTGTGCTCTGTGTGTGTGATGGCTGTGTGTGTGTGTGCTGTGTGTGATTGTGTGAGTGGGTGTGTGCTCTGTGTGTGAGATGTGTGTGTGCTGTGTGTGTGTGATGGTGAGTGGGTGTGCTCTGTGTGTGTGCTGTGTGTGTGCTGTGTGTGTGTGATGGTGATTGTGTGTGTGTGCTGTGTGTGATTGTGTGAGTGGGTGTGTGCCCTGTGTGTGTGTGATGGTGATTGTGTGCGTGTGCTGTGCGTGATTGTGTGAGTGGGTGTGTGCTCTGTGTGTGATGGTGAGTGTGTGATTGTGTGAGTGGGTGTGTGCCCTGTGTGTGTGCTGTGTGTCTGTGTGTGATTGTGTGAGTGGGTGTGTGCCCTTTGTGTGTGCTGTGTTTGTGTGATGGCTGTGTGTGTGTGCTGTGTGTGATTGTGTGAGTGGGTGTGTGCTCTGTGTGTGTGATGGCTGTGTGTGATTGTGTGAGTGGGTGTGTGGCCTGTGTGTGTGCTGTGTGTGTGTGATTGTGTGAGTGGGTGTGTGCCCTGTGTGTGTGCTGTGTGTGATTGTGTGAGTGGGTGTGTGCTCTGTGTGTGTGATGGCTGTGTGTGATTGTGTGAGTGGGTGTGTGCTCTGTGTGTGTGTGATAGCTGTGTGTGTGTGATTGTGTGAGTGGGTGTGTGCTCTGTGTGTGTGTGCTGTGTGTCTGTGTGAGTGTGATTGTGTGAGTGGGTGTGTGCTCTGTGTGTGTGTGATGGCTGTGTGTGTGTGATTGTGTGAGTGGGTGTGTGCTCTGTGTGTGTGTGCTGTGTGTCTGTGTGTGTGTGATTGTGTGAGTGGGTGTGTGCTCTGTGTGTGTGTGTGCTGTGTGTCTGTGTGTGTGATTGTGTGAGTGTGTGTGTGCTCTGTGTGTGTGTGCTGTGTGTCTGTGTGTGTGATTGTGTGAGTGGGTGTGTGATTGTGTGAGTGGGTGTGTGCTCTGTGTGTGTGTGTGCTGTGTGTGATTGTGTGAGTGGGTGTGTGCTCTGTGTGTGTGTGCTGTGTGTCTGTGTGTGTGTGATGGCTGTGTGTGTGTGATGGCTGTGTGTGTGTGATTGTGTGAGTGTGTGTGTGCTGTGTGTGTGCTCTGTGTGTGTGATGGCTGTGTGTGTGATGGCTGTGTGTGTGTGATTGTGTGAGTGTGTGTGTGCTGTGTGTGTGTGTGCCCTGTGTGCGTGCTGTGTGTGTGTGTGATGGCTGTGTGTGTGTGCTGTGTGTGATTGTGAGTGGGTGTGTGCTCTGTGTGTGTGTGCTGTGTCTGTGTGTGTGTGATGGCTGTGTGTGTGTGCTCTGTGTGTGTGATGGCTGTGTGTGTGTGCCCTGTGTGTGTGTGCTCTGTGTGTGTGTGCTGTGTGTGTGTGCTCTGTGTGTGTGATGGCTGTGGAATGTGAAGGGGGGGTGGCTGTTGTGGAGGCAGGGGGCGGGGCGCTCTGTGCCGCCTCTCACTCGGAAGTCTTCACTTGACGACTCTACTCGCTCCTCTCTCCGCGTCTTCTCCGACAAACTTTCAAGAGTCAACAACATCAACAACATCATCCTCGGGCGCGTCCACAAACCCTCCTCCTGCTGCAGACGATGGCTGCTGCCCTGATGCTCAACCTGGCCACGGCCCTGCTCCTGGCAGCGTCGCTGGCCGTGCTGCCCGCATCGGCAGATCGTGAGTAGCAGCGGCAGTGGCCGTGGTTTAGTGGCAGCAGTGGTCGTGGTTTAGTGGCAGTGGTCGTGGTTTAGTGGCAGTGGTCGTGGGTTAGTGGCAGTGGTCGTGGTTTAGTGGCAGCAGTGGTCGTGGTTTAGTGGCAGTGGTCGTGGTTTAGTGGCAGTGGTCGTTGTTTAGTGGCAGTGGTCGTGGTTTAGTGGCAGCAGTGGTCGTGGTTTAGTGGCAGTGGTCGTGGTTTAGTGGCAGTGGTCGTGGGTTAGTGGCAGTGGTCGTGGTTTAGTGGCAGTGGCAGTGGTTTAGTGGTCGTGGGTTAGTGGCAGTGGTCGTGGGTTAGTGGCAGTGGTCGTGGTTTAGTGGCAGCAGTGGTCGTGGTTTAGTGGCAGCAGTGGTCGTGGTTTAGTGGCAGTGGTCGTGGTTTAGTGGCAGTGGTCGTGGGTTAGTGGCAGTGGTCGTGGTTTAGTGGCAGCAGTGGTCGTGGTTTAGTGGTCGTGGTTTAGTGGCAGTGGCCGTGGGTTAGTGGCAGTGGTCGTGGGTTAGTGGCAGTGGTTTAGTGGCAGTGGCAGTGGTTTAGTGGCAGTGGTTTAGTGGCAGTGGTTTAGTGGCAGTGGTCGTGGGTTAGTGGCAGTGGTCGTGGGTTAGTGGCAGTGGTCGTGGGTTAGTGGCAGTGGTCGTGGTTTAGTGGCAGTGGTCGTGGGTTAGTGGCAGTGGTCGTGGTTTAGTGGCAGCAGTGGTCGTGGTTTAGTGGCAGTGGTCGTGGTTTAGTGGCAGTGGTCGTGGGTTAGTGGCAGTGGTCGTGGGTTAGTGGCAGTGGTCGTGGGTTAGTGGCAGTGGCAGTGGTTTAGTGGCAGTGGCAGTGGTTTAGTGGCAGTGGTTTAGTGGCAGTGGTCGTGGGTTAGTGGCAGTGGTCGTGGGTTAGTGGCAGTGGTCGTGGTTTAGTGGCAGTGGTCGTGGTTTAGTGGCAGCAGTGGTCGTGGTTTAGTGGCAGTGGTCGTGGGTTAGTGGCAGTGGTCGTGGGTTAGTGGCAGCAGTGGTCGTGGTTTAGTGGCAAGTGGTCGTGGTTTAGTGGCAGTGGTCGTGGTTTAGTGGCAGTGGTCGTGGTTTAGTGGCAGTGGTCGTGGGTTAGTGGCAGTGGTCGTGGTTTAGTGGCAGTGGCAGTGGTTTAGTGGCAGTGGTTTAGTGGCAGTGGTCGTGGGTTAGTGGCAGTGGTCGTGGGTTAGTGGCAGTGGTCGTGGGTTAGTGGCAGTGGTTTAGTGGCAGCAGTGGTCGTGGTTTAGTGGCAGTGGTCGTGGTTTAGTGGCAGTGGTCGTGGGTTAGTGGCAGTGGTCGTGGGTTAGTGGCAGTGGTCGTGGGTTAGTGGCAGTGGTCGTGGTTTAGTGGTCGTGGTTTAGTGGCAGTGGTTTAGTGGCAGTGGTTTAGTGGCAGTGGTCGTGGGTTAGTGGCAGTGGTCGTGGGTTAGTGGCAGTGGTCGTGGTTTAGTGGCAGTGGTTTAGTGGCAGTGGTCGTGGTTTAGTGGCAGTGGTTTAGAGGCAGTGGTCGTGGGTTAGTGGCAGTGGTCGTTGTTTAGTGGCAGCAGTGGTCGTGGTTTAGTGGCAGCGGTGGTCGTGCTTTAGTGGCAGTGGTGGTCGTGGTTTAGTGGCAGTGGTCGTGGTTTAGTGGCAGTGGTCGTGGTTTAGTGGCAGCAGTGGTCGTGGTTTAGTGGCAGTGGTGGTCGTGGTTTAGTGGCAGTGGTGGTCGTGGTTTAGTGGCAGTGGTGGTCGTGGTTTAGTGGCAGTGGTGGTCGTGGGTTAGTGGCAGTGGTGGTCGTGGGTTAGTGGCAGTGGTGGTCGTGGGTTAGTGGCAGTGGTCGTGGTTTAGTGGCAGTGGTCGTTGTTTAGTGGCAGTGGTCGTGGTTTAGTGGCAGTGGTCGTTGTTTAGTGGCAGTGGTCGTGGTTTAGTGGTCGTGGTTTAGTGGCAGTGGTCGTGGTTTAGTGGTCGTGGTTTAGTGGCAGTGGTGGTCGTGGGTTAGTGGCAGTGGTCGTGGTTTAGTGGCAGTGGTCGTTGTTTAGTGGCAGTGGTCGTGGTTTAGTGGCAGTGGTCGTTGTTTAGTGGCAGTGGTCGTGGTTTAGTGGTCGTGGTTTAGTGGCAGTGGTCGTGGTTTAGTGGTCGTGGTTTAGTGGCAGTGGTGGTCGTGGGTTAGTGGCAGTGGTCGTGGTTTAGTGGCAGTGGTCGTTGTTTAGTGGCAGTGGTTGTGGTTTAGTGGCATTGGTCGTTGTTTAGTGGCAGTGGTCGTGGTTTAGTGGCAGTGGTCGTTGTTTAGTGGCAGTGGTCGTGGTTTAGTGGTCGTGGTTTAGTGGCAGTGGTCGTGGTTTAGTGGCAGTGCTTGGTGGCTCTTACTCGGGGGGCATGTGGCTGTGGCAGGCGTGGCTGGGTGGATAGTCGCCGATACCCTGAGCTGTGGGCGCTGCTGTGGCTATGAGATGTTGACTACCTCGCCTGGTGTACAGGAGGTCGTGGGTTCGTTCCCTACCCCTGACAATGCCTGCTGTATGTTTGTAGTTTGCGTGTCTCTCTCATCATCACGGTGGCCAGGAGATGTTAACTACGTCGCCTGGTGTACAGGAGGTCGTGGGTTCGATCCCTACCCCTGACAATGCCTGCTGCTGTATATTTGTAGTTTGCGTGTCTCTCATCATCATCATCACGGTGGCTATGATATGTTAACTACCTCGCCTGGTGTACAGGATGTCCATGGGTTCGATCCCTACCCCTGACAATGCCTTGCTGTATGGTTGTAGTTTGCGTGTCTCTCTCATCATCATCACGGTGGCTAGGAGATGTTAACTACCTCGCCTGGTGTACAGGAGGTCGTGGGTTCGTTCCCTACCCCTGACGCCTGCTGTATTTGTGTAGTTTGCGACTTTGCGTCTCTCATCATCATCAAGATGGCGATGAGATGTTAACTACCTCGCCTGGTGTACAGGAGGTCGTGGGTTCGATTCCTACCCCTGATGCCTGCTGTATTTGTGTAGTTTGCGTCTCTCTCATCATCATGGTGGCTAGGAGATGTTAACTACCTCGCCTGGTACACAGGATGTCCATGGGTTCGACCCCTACCCCTGACAATGCCTGCTGCTGTATGTTTGTAGTTTGCGTGTCTCCCTCTCCCCCATGGTCGCGTGTATATTTTTTCTGATTCCCGTTTTCCCCTCCACATTTGGAATCAACAAACACGCGTTTAGCGCATTAGGCCGCTGCTATTATATGTCCACGTGAGCGCACTTGTTTCTGGAAGAAAGAAAAAAGCTATTATACCTCAGTGTGCCTTGTCTGGTCAAATAAAACCAAAAGTTTGTGTGTAGTATAGGTCATGTAGGCAGTGGGGTTTCCACGGCGATCAAAGTTAAAGTTACCGTACAACATTCTGCGTTTATTGCGAAACCCCTTATTTGTGGATGTACGGTAACCGGTTCGTTGTTGTTGTTGTCACGCAAACCCCGACGAGATTGACAGCCCCCACAGCGTCCTATCGGTGGCGTGAGTTCACGTGGATGGACACAGAAATCGGTCATTTGGGCCACCAAATATCACCCACGGGGGCAGTGACATTCCTCCACGCCTCTTCTCTGGCCAATGAACCCTCCAACACCCGACGAGATTGTCGCGTTTTATTATTGTTTGTGGTAATACGTGGCAATTTATTTGATACAATTCTGGCCAGTTTAGGGCCCTTCCCCAACACCGGTATCTTGAGATTTGAGTGCCCCATGGCACATATGTAGCACCATCCGTGTTACCATCTGTATGTATGTTGAACTTCTTTCGCACCGTACGTAGCCAACCTTGCTAATCGGGTGTGTGGGGAAGGACAACGTGACTTTACCGAAAGAACCAAAGCGTATGGATTCCTGCAGTCACGAAAGCTTCAAATCAAGAAAGGACAACAAACTCGACACACAAAGCACAGTTATGAAGAACAGCGTGTTGAATGTGACAATCTTGTCTGGTGGTGGTGGAGGGCTTTGCCACACACACACACAGTACCGCGTGGCCTAAGCCCATTAACAAACTTTGATGGTGGGTTTTTTTGGCTGCGGAGACCCAACCACGTTTCTAAGTTCACTCGGCAAGTAATCGCGTGGGTTTCTTCGCGATCATTTGCCGATTCGAGTTGTGACAAGCCGTCGTCACGTTTCATTCTGGGTAAAGCGAGTTGGTTGCGATTCGATTTAAGTTGCCCATGTGTGAACTAAGCCTCAATTTCTCAACATCAAAATGACTCGATGGGGATGACACACAGCAGAGGCAGCAATCGCTGTACCCCCCTACACACAACTGGCAAGGTCACTCTTAACAACGAGACTATGCTGGTCTATCTCTCCGAGCTAACATCCAGGTTACACAAATCAACTTGTAAACCTGACCCAGTAAACTTTCATGTTACAATTACAACATCAACAACACGTGACACACGCCCACCCCACGCCTGCAAAATGAAACGACAGTAACAAGAGGTTGTCTATCGTGAGACATTAAAACACTGACATCCTCACACAAGAGCCCATTTCATTCGTTGTCCGCATCTCGCTTTAGACTTTGCCCTGTACATTAAGCAGTCGCCCTCCTTAACCTCCTTCAGTTTCCTCTTCAAGCTCACCTCTTCTCTATTGTCCATACAGTACATACAAGAGGGGGGCTGAGCACCCCACATGCTGAATATCCAGCAGCTCCCCCCTTCCCCCTTTAAATTATAATTACAGTCAAGTCAAAACATGCTGGGTCAAAATGTAACACCCAGTCAGTTTACGTTGTTATTGAACCTCTCCTCGCATGCACAAAGCACACGGGGGGGGGGGATATGAGAGTTGCACTGTAGACAAAAACAGACATTACTAATTCTGGTTAGCGTTTAACATGTTGTTTAAAGTTTGTTTAACATTGACTGTCATGCCCCCACCCCTCCCCGCCCCCCTTCAGAGTTTATTAAATCCTCCGCTCCCCAACCGCGCCTTCAAACAATGCTC